CCTGAGTTGCAGGCCTCATTCTTCCAGGAAAACACCAAGCTCATTCCTGCCTCAGGCCCTTCACCCTTGCTGCTTTCTCTGTTCAGTGAGTTCAAGCCCAACCTCCACAAGACTCACTGCTTACCTCAGGTCTGTGCTAAAACATGGCTCAGGTACCCTTTGCTCTGAAATAGGCTGCCCCTTCCCCAACACACACCGTCACAGTCTACCCCCAGGCCCTGCACAATTATTTTATGTTTATTTACGTGTTTAGTAGCTATCATTACGCGATGTTACATTATGCTGTTATCTGTGTTTCCTCTAGAACGTAACCTCAATGTAAAAAAGCACTGGTTTTGTTCACCCCCTGTATTTCCCACGTGTGCCACACCATTGGCACTAAATGCGGAGAATTAGGAGAGAAGATATGCAGCGTTCACAGCAAGGGGGTTTTAAGCACACAGGCCAATCCTGCTCTGAAATCCAGGCTATGTTCTGAGATCTTGGAGGGATACCCACTTTCAAACATCCTCAATTCAACCCACGAGAAGTTGATGACTTCCGGGCACCTGGGTGGCTCAGTTGGTTAAGCATCTGCCTTTGGCTCAGGTCATGATCCCAGGACCCTGGGATCGAGTCCGTGAGGGCCAGACTCAGCAGAGAGTCTGCTTCTCTCTCTCCCTCTGCTCCTTCCCCTGCTCATTCTCTCTCTCCCCCAAATAAATAAATATATAAAACTCTTTTTTTAAAAAGCACAAATAATTGGAGGATAAGTTACTGATATTAATCCATGTACTTTAAGTAGCTTAATACTCTTTAATGGGGAGTCCTGCATCTGTGTCCCTGCTCAGTGGGGAGTCTGCTTCTCCCTCTGTCCCTCCCCCCTCTCATGCTCTCTCTCTCAAGTAAATGAAATCTTTAAATTAAAAAAAAAGTTGATGACTTCCAATTAAGGCAATAACCACCTCCTCCAGGAAGCTTCATAGATGCTTCCTGTGGGGGTTTTAGTCAACCCCAGGGAGTGCCGTACCCCATGGCCAGAAGGTGGAGTAGGGTAAATAATTCAAGGAGGACAGAGTCATAGATAGCTCAGACGTCACCAGTCACACAGAGTTCTTAGTGTTCAAAGCTCTAGAATTTCACAGCTTTTGCCATCTGAATGAAAGCCAGGGAACACATTTTGATAAAAGCAATAGTAGCAAGAAAACAAACCAAAACAAGTAAAATTAAAAAGAAATCTGAAAAACATTATTGCTTATCAGCAATAAAAGGAACGTACTATTGATAACACTTGAATGGATGTGAAGGGCGTTATGCTAAGTGAATACAGGCAATCAGAAATTGACACATAATATATGACTCCATTTCTATAGCATGACTGAAATGACAAAATGATAGAGATGGAGAACCGATTAGCGGTTGCCTGGAGTTGGGGTGCTTGTTTGTGTGCAGTGTGACTATAAAGGAGAGAACCGGGAGATCTCTGTGGTGGTGGGAGTCTGGATCCTGGTTTTGGTGGTGGTTACACAAATCCACACATATGAATAAAATGAGACACATATTTCACCAACTTCAATTTTGTGGTTTTGATATTCTACTGTAATTATATAATTAAGACATAAGCATTGGGAAAAATGGAAAGGTACATGAGACCTCTCTACTGTTTTGTAATTTCCTGTGTACCTAGAATTACTTCTCAATAAAAAGTTCAGAAGGCAACAGTGTTCATACAGTATGACATTAAGAATGTTTATATAGCCCACTATTTTCAAGGTCATATCTTAGTCTCTCAAAGTTCACAGTTTTCTAACCAAGCAAACGATATTTCCTTCGAACACTACCAGCCAGTTTCCTGATTTATTCTTCTGTCTTTCTCAGGCTAACATTTTCAGGAGGTTTCTATAAAAGGTAGCAATTTTGAGAACTTTCAAAGCTCAATGTAAAAGGACTTCTGGTTGTATTAACCTTTTAATTAGGAGTAGAGAATTGTAACAAGATGAGAGGCTTAGTTCTGCTGGTTAAACCTACTCTTGTAGAGGTATTTGAGGCAGATCAAAAATGGAATTCTTTCCAAACTCCATTAATTCAGAACAGAATTAGGATTTGAAAGAAAGGATATTCAACTGAGATTTTAATTTTCTGCCTTGAACTTAAAAAGTCAGAGTTCTAGCAGCTCTGGAGCTCCAGAATCCTAACAAGTTAGCACAAAGGAAGTCTGGCCTACAAGAGCTATAGATTTTTTACTCTACTTATAGGTATGTGACACATGAGTGTTTATGTGGGCCGGTACTATAGCAAAAACAATCAACCTTGATTCAGTGTACAAATGGTAGGGTCGAGATGCATTCAAAGGTACTGATTGAATGCTGGCAGGATACAGAGTTTGATAAGAAAGAATTGCTAACTTCAAGGATTCTATGATCTAGTTAAGGAGAAAATAAAATACAAGAAACAACTACAATACAGGGCAGAAAATTTAATTATTGCTAAAATAGTTTTAAGTTTCTCTCAGAACACAGAAAGTCAAGATTAAGTTCATCTGGACAGATTGAGGAAGGCTTGAAGTGGAAGGTGACATTGACCAGACCCAACATTGGGTGGGGAGGATTTCAAGAGCCCAACTGCAGACTGGGAGAGTAGACAAGAGTGCTCTGGGAGACAGCATGGGAAAAGGCTCAGAGGCAGGCCAGTCTGGTAGACTGGAACAATTTCATTTCGGATGGGGCAGGTGGTTTGTGAGAGGAAAGAATAAAAGATGGTGGTTTAGGCAAAGTCGTATAGGACCACCTATGTGGTCATGAATCATCTACTATTAATAGTAGTTATGGAAACCAGGACAAGGTGACCAAAGACATCTGTGACTTATCAAGGATCCTCCTGTGTTTTGATGTAGCCGTCTTTATTAAAAGTATGCAGCTTAAATCAAGTTGCATAGATCTGTCCTCTACATGGATTTCAAAAAATGATTTTAATAGTTTTTATAACCATCCAATTAAAATTACCAATCAATAATAAAGTCCTCATGACCAGTTTCATGTTGGGGAAGTCATGATCACAATGATTCTGTATTTTGCTTGCAACAACATCTCTGTTTCAACAGGAAGTCATGGTCTCCTGACTGTTTATCTTGCTTTGATTCTTTGAATTCCACTTGCCCTAAACACTAAGAGGATTCTACTCATCACTTCTGCTAACATGGTTCACCTTGTGTAAATACTTCCCTTATTCAGTCTGGTCTCCAGAACCCAACCACAGTCTGGTTCCATTACTGATCATACAGATACTAGAAAAATATCACTTAGGAACAAACGTGAAAGACACACATAAGCCTGGATAAACTAAGGTGCGTGACAACCTAATTCTTCGCAAATTTCTAAGTTTCATGGTGTTAAGTATTTAAGTCAGAGATCCCTAACCAGTAAATGAAGATCTATGGGAAGATCCAGGAGCCTGACTAGTAAATCTTGGAACTGGCTGCCACAGACTTCCAGTTGGGACAATTCCTGGTGGGACACTAAACAACCTGCCCACCACACACACCCCCATTCCACTGTCAGCAGCCCCCCATACGCATCTCATCATGCCACATCAAGGTCTCTAGTAAGTAAACAATAATTCTTTTACACCAAAAGGATGAGAAGCTGTGGTATATGTACGGCAAGTTACACACGCAGACCCTGTCACAGGATGAAGGAGCACAGTCTGGGTAAAGGGAAGATGGAAGACAGTGATGCAGAGAACGAGCATGGAGTGGGACACATCTGGGTTCCAATCCTGAAACTGTTACTTACTTGTATCATGACACTGACTATTACCTTGCTGACTCTCTCATTCCTCATTACTAACATAAGATAGTGGCATCTACCTCCCAGTGTTTTGAGGGTTAATGAGGTATTGGCTTATATAAAAGTTTAGTTTAGTGTCTACCTCTAGTGGGCCTTGATCAATCCCTGCTTTACATTCATGGATGAAAATAATATAGTGCTAGAAATAGGATCAAAAATATATTGAATGAAAACTTTGTCCTGTAATCTAGTTAGGAAATGTGGACAAGCACGTCTTCAAGGTTGAAAATGTTCAGTGACTCCTTTTCAATGGACATTATTCAGGAAATAAACTCACTCTTCAGTTGAACAGGGATGGGAAACCTTCATTTCCATCTGTTTATCACATTCCAGTAGGCACCCATTCAGAAACATCAAAGGCAAATATATCGACAAGGCTGTGAAATTTAGGCACATCCTACACTTCAAATACTTTGTGATGCAGCCTTTCTAAGAACGAGTCTGGTTTACGTTCTAATTTTCATCTCAAGTTTGTCTGGTTATATATCTTTGGGAACTTACTTCGTAGTTCTATTTCACTTATGAAACAAGAATATCCAAATCTATTCCATTCCCTACAAAAGAGATGAGGCGGTGCCCTTCTTTCTGTTTCTGCTTCCCATAATTCCAGGGGTCACCACGCACCTCCTAGTCTTTATAGGTTTGCATGTTATTTTTAGTTTTCCAGAAGATGGCTGTAAGCATAAGTACTTCTAGTAGTATTAATTGTTTTTATAACTACTTTTATAATGGAAAAATCATAAACTTAAAAAACTGTTGACAGGATACTAAAAAACAAAAACAAACAAACCAACCAAAAAACCCCCCGGAGATATCAAACTGTCCAAAATAATTAAAAACTCTAATCTGCAAATGATTTCTGGTTTAGTCCAGTGTCTCAAGGACTTGACCTATTTCTTAAAGACACCGAACATCATATATTCTGTTCAAAATATAGTCCTACTCCCGGTGTTTCATAATCTTTTTGCTGTGGAAACATGTGCATTTTAAAATTCAAAAAAGATGTTGCTTTGTGACATCTGATATGCTACCCATTAATCTTAGTCTCGGTAAGAGAATACAAATTTGATTTCCTTCCAAACCTAACATTTGGAAATGTATATTATTTCTCCTTCGGAATATGGGATCATTTGGAATATAAATGACTACATTTATAAAAAACATTAAAAAGCTTACCTGGTTGAAGCACATTCTCAGCTTTTTGTTTGTCTGCTCTGGGCATTGCTCCGGCTGTTTTTGTAAATAATAGGACAGGATATTAGCTTTTAGAAAATGAGCTGTCTACAATGGAGTTATAATGTGCAAGTATCTAGTATAAAAACCATCAAAGCCTAGGACTGGCCAACACTGGTACTGGGGTCTTTTAAGCCTGGGTCCAATTAAATTAATTAAAGTATACCTCACCTTATTCCAAAAAAAAAAGATCAAGGCAGTTTACATAATAAACAACATGGTTAAACAATTGCAGAAGAAAAAAAAAAGTGAAGGAAAAGTAAATGACAAAGATTATTCAAGAGGATGTCAAGAAGGTAGCTGGAGTCTGGGTCTCTGGAATGGGAACACCACAGAAAAAGACTGGGGAGTTACAGGCATATGGGATAGTATTTCAAGTCACAGACTTGTCTAGGTCACCTAGAAACAGCACTTAACAGAGAGAAGAAAATGGCCCAGGAATGGGCCCTCAGACGTGCCAACATTTAGAAACCAAAGAGAGAAGGAATTGAGTTGCCAGCAGAAAAGATGGGAGGAAGAAAAGCAAGAAAATGGGAAGTGCGTTGTCATGGAAGCGACACAAAGAAAGTGGTTCAAGAAGAAAAAAGTGGTCAAACTGGGCCAGTCTCTCAGAGGCCAGGTAGGATAAGAGTGACCACTGCATTTGTCGGCCTAGTGGTCACTGGTGGCCTCACAAGACAGTCTCAGGGAAGTAACAGGGTTGGAACCCTGGCAGGGAGATGGGGAGGGGGAGGAGGAGGAGGTGAGGGTAGAAGGTGAGGGAGCAGAAACCCTAATTATACGTTAGAAAATTAAGGGTTTCTCCCCGGGATCAGATTAAAGCATAAGTCACCTCTGTCAAATTATTTGGTGTTCTTTTCACTAACAGCCTTTCCATGTATATCCATCCTCTCCACAAGCAATGCTGAGCATGAAGGCAGAGAAAGCATCCTCCCACCCTCTTGTACCCCAAGGTTCTTCTGGGCTCCAGGGAGCACCTTCTGGCAGCCCCAGGCCTGCACAGCTCACTCAGCCTCACCACAGGCTGCAGTGACTTAGCGGCCTGCAGACAACCCATATGAGCCCAGGTAGCTGAACAGAGTTTTCTTTCTAATCCTATATGGCACTGTCCCTGAAAGGAGGTTTGGTAAATAGAATTTTCTTCATCTTTCCCTGTGATGTGTTAATGATTTTAGTAAGACTAGTGCTCTGGGCACCTGACATGGCTGACCCACCCAATCCTCACCTCAGCCCCCCATAACGAGTGGTTGAGGAACATGTATCTAAGCAATAGAAACTCTATTTTTGGTGTCATGGAGGGAAGTCAGGGACCATGTCCTGTTTCTTTTCATCTCTGCAACTTTCTGTTCTCGGTCTGTAAGATCTTCCCAAAGTTTATCTGAACCTTGGCCACACTGGTTTTAAATGCAGTTTTCATTCTGAGTCATCCATGTGGTATAAAGATCCCCATCTTCATTCACTTAAACCATTCTAGGTCCTCCTCCTGGTAGCACTTTACAATGTGTCTTCAATGAAGATTAAGGTCAGGCTATTCTGTCATTCCCTCAAAGTTCCAATAAACCTGGCTTACCTCAAAACTTGCTGCAAGTTCCTCCACAGATGTGTAGCCAAATTCTGATGGTAGCTGATACTGAGGGAAAAAGTACTGAAGAATCTCCCTAGGAATATGAGCAGACCGGAGATGGTCATATACAGGGAACAGGGACGCAGCACTCATCTGTCAGAACTGCTGGGGGTTAAACATCTTGGCAAAGATGAACATTCATGCCCACCAAACTGTTTTAACCCGTCATCAAAGTCTTCCCCAAGAAGCATAGACTGGGGAAAGGGAAGTGGGCGTGGCTATAAAAAGGCAACAGGCGGAATCTTCAGGTTGAGGCGACTGTTCTGTATCTTGACTGTGTCCACGCCAACATCCTGTGATAGCGTTACCACCGGGGAAAAGTAGGTAAAGGGTACAGGGCATCTCTCTATATTATTTCTTACAACTGCTTGTGAACCAATACTTATCTTAAAATTAAAAGTTTATTTAAAAAAGAAAGGAAGAAAGAGGAAGAACGAAAGTGGAAAGAAAGGAGGGGAAAGGAAGGGAGAAAGAAAGAAAAGGAAAGGAAAAGAAAAAAAAGAAGAGAAGAGAAGAGAAGAGAAAAAAGAAAAGAAATGAGAGTGAGAGAGAGGAAGGAAGGAAGCAGGCGGGCAGGCAGAAAGCAGGCATGGGCTCACAATGCCCATCCATAATCAAGTAGCCCAGAAAAGCCCTGCACCTACTTGAGTGTTCTCCTTGCAGAAAACTTAGCATTGCAAAATTTCTGAAGGAAAGACACTGTCTCCTGACTTTTTTTTCCCCTAAGAAAGCCAAAGAATTCAATTCTCCAGAATAATTCCTTTCATCTGGGGCTCTGCTGCTACTCTTAGAAATCATACGTGGACCCTGTTCTTTCCAGTGACTGGCCATTGTTCTGACAGGTTCCGAGTTTTTTAAGAATATTATGTTTTAATATTCATTTATAGTTTTAAGGAAATTCAATCCAAACGTTAAAAATCCTCAGCACTACACAATGTCAAATATAACACACACACACACACACACACTCACACTCCTCAGAATTATTTACCCAGTTAGTAAGAAGGTGAGTGAGTTCTGGGCATTTGAGATGAGCAGAAATCAGATGGGATGGAGAAGAGACCTACAAGTTGAGTCCCGAGGAAAGGTGACCTGTAGTCACCGCTAGGGCTGGTTTGGTGGGACAGAAGCGAGGAGGTCTTTTACACAAACCAGCCCCTTCTCTCTCTAAATCCAGCCTCCCTTCCCTCAACACACGGTTCGAGCCTCTCCTGAGCAACAGTCCTTGTCAGGGTGGGTATAAATGCTTTTGGGTTTAGATTTAGAGCATATCAACCATCTTCTGGGGAGGTGCTTCCAGAGAAGCAAATTTCAGGTGGTGGTAGCACTGGGTTGGGACTGGGAGAGGGTGAAGGGGAGGCTAGGGGAGAAAAAGGTTCTAGATTAGTTCTGAATTATTCTCAACCTCGGCAATCTCTGCATCAGAATTTACACCACACATCATCTATCATCTAAATAATTTCTCACACAAACATACTAATATTTCTAAAGCTAGATACCATTTTAAAATAAAACACAACTTTATATAAAAGTTTTACAGCTTCTGCCATGTTGTATTTTCTCAATACACTCAAGCTCAGTAGTCCCCCAGATAGTCCCTGAACCCCACCACCACATAGCTTTTACCCAGTGGCCCCTGCCAGAGCCTGGCATCTGCTCCCATGCTAGGAACCCATACGTTCTTATTTCATGGAATTCAGCCTCATGGGGAATGCAGACAGGGAAGCAAGCTTTTCTAGGACAGTGTGATAAATGCTGGGATGAGAATGGGAATGCAGCGCTATGGGCACCGAGATGAGGGGCCCTCCCCATCATGGGGAGCCCCGGAGGAGGAGGAGGAGTTAGCCAGCTGTGGGGCAGGAGGGTGGGGGCGCATGAAGCATGCATTCCCAGCCACTGCACTACATGCTGGGGACAAGTGTTTTCTGGCAATAGTGAGCCCCCTGGTCACATTCAACCACTCTTTATAAAGTGCTGGAAGTGTACTAAGTGCTACTATATGCTTGATATATGTAACTTCAAGTCATCTTTATGGAAACTCTTTGGTTGAGGACTTATTCTTACTTTGAGCCTCTCTGGTTTCCTAATGATTAAGGACCTCTCCCCCGCCCCCCCGCAACAGGCCCTAGCAGGTGCACTCTCCTTTGTCTCTCTCCCTCCAGGGTCTCTGCTTTCTGCCTTTGACTCTCTCTTCCCCAGAGCTGCTGCTAATTAGCTTTTCCCTCAGGGATTCTGTCCCATAAGACCTACAAGACAGAGGACAAATTATACAGCTCCTCTGGTCTCCAACCACAAACACATAGACCTCTTCCTTTTCCTGAAAAATTAATTCAGAAAAACTGTTAGATGCTGTTAGGAAACTGTAAGACACCAAAAATGGCAGAAGCAAGGTCTGAATGTAGTTAAGAACTCTTAGAAAATTCCTTCATGTATTATCTTGAGTCCCTTTCTTCCCTCGTATCCCTTGCCGGTATCTTCTTTTGTTCCTGGGAGGTATCAAACCTCCCTCCACTCACAAACTTCAGGTTTCCCTTAGGACATAGTGATCCTCTAATCCAGGAAAGGTACTGCCAGGAGTGTGCCAGGAGGCGCTCAGCACCAAACTGCAGGAATAAAGTGGGGTCTGTTCACCGGTAGCCACTGAGTCAGATGGATACTGTGCTGTGGGGGACTCGTCAATCACGTGCCACCTTCTCAACAGGACTCTTGTCCCACAGGAACAGCCCTTCTTCCCTTGGAGCATCTACTCACAGCTCTGCCCTCAGACTTGATAATAAAATCAGGAACATGTCTTTGTTTAACACTGTCTCTCTTCTCAAGACTTTAAGAAATAGCCTAAAGATCTTCCAGAGCTGTTACTAGCATCCAGGATTATAGGAGGTCCTCTGCTCAGATGCCCATCTCAGCTGAATTCCTATAAAATCCATACCCAGATCTGCAAGTCCAATCTGGAAGTTCTTAAAGAGTTCAACCAGGTGAGCTACAACCCTGAGTCAGCGCTGTTTCTGTCTGTGATGGCCAAGCTTGGAAGCGCTGCGGCTGAGGGTCATTTCCTTTTCACTCCCCAGTCCGATTCCCTTCCCAACAGAGTAGCTTTTTCTTAAGAAAAATCTCCTACTTGCATTAATACAGCTCCATTCCCTCTAGACATGAGCAGTAAAACACAGAAGTACCTGGTCACCCGGCTGCTCTTTTTAAAAAGTAACCAAGTTCATAAGCTCGGTCTTAGCTAAGAAAAAGAGCAAGCCTCTTACTTGAGGTAGATTGAAACTCTCTTCTCCAACCCAGTGAAAGAGAAAGATGAGGATGAACAGAAATGGCATAGCTTAATTTCTTAAAACCTGGAATCAGATCACGTTTTTTGACAGACCCCCAACTGCTCATGTATTCACTTTTGTGGGTTTTTCTCTTGCTTTGGTAACTGGCAGCCACCTGTAACGAGGGACTTCCTTTTTAAAACTTATTTTTGATACTTTTAAAATTTAAGCTAACACAAAGCATGTTTGGGCTTTTACGGAGTTGAAATAAATGAAGTCTGCCTCATTATCAAGTTTACACACACAACAATGAACTGAAACAAGGTGTCCGAGTGTTAGCAGTTCAAAGCAAGGACTATGAGACTGTCAGGATTGAAATTCCAGCTCTACCACCCAAGAGTTATGTAATGCTGGGCAGATTACTCAAACTCTACCAACATCAATTTTCTCATCCATAAAATGGGGATAATAAAAATCTAATTACCGGGCTGTTGAAAGGTTTAAGTGAGTTAACATATGCAAAGCCCTTAAGACAGTGCCTGGTACACCGGAAGTGCATAATAAATACATATTATTATTATCATTACTATTGAGAGTGAATTGAGATTTAATACTACTCTAATATTAGGATCATCTAATACAATTTAACAGTGTGGATCTGAGTTTAGCTCATCTACCTCTGACTTAACACAACTCAGTCATACCCCATAATCTGAAAATATTTTAATATCCAGCAATACTACTCACTGCATTTTACATTAATCCCTCTTAACTTTATTAAAAGTATTCTTTGAGGGGCCCTTAGGTGGCTCAGTCAGTTAAGCATCTGACTCTTGATCTCAGTTCAGGTCTTGATCTTAGGGTCATGAGTTCGAGCCCTGCATTGGGCTCCATACTGGGCATGGAGGCTACTAAAACAAAAAAAAAAAGGCATTCTTTGAATACCTACTAATATATGCTAGACAGGGTGTGGAAAATCCAATCTGTTTTCAAAGATGTTACTATATTTGGGGATTAAATAAACTAATACACATAAAACAAAAAGTAACATAAGTCAGAAAATACTAAACTGAGCATAATCAGGTAATGAAAATGAACAATGAAAACTACTATTTTTATTAATTTATTCCATTAACATGAAATAAACAGAAGTGACCGGACTCTACTTTGGCAGTGTGGAAAGGGATAAGGCTGAGGTCATGTCCACAGTGAACCATGTGGAGGGAAAGGGCTCTATCGACTCTCTTGTGTGACAAGCCAGGCAAATCTGGGGAGGGATGGTCGGTGTAAAGCACATGGAACCCTCCACGTTCTACACAATCAGCCACAATCCTTGTGCCCCGAGACATGTGAAGTCTAGTAACACAAGGAGTAACACGTGGACCAGATACAGAATAGTGCAGCACAGGGGGTAAGAATAACAAAGAAGACAAGAAATCTGTTTCATCCGTGAAATGTGAGAAAACATACTGCATGCTGCTAAAGGTGAAAGAGAAGATTGATAAATGAGGAGCTCATTGTGTTCCAGTTAAGTTTTGTGTTCTGTACAATTCTTTTTCCACTTAATATTTTTGTAAAACAATCACCACAAAAAAATGCAAGCCAGTACCAAAAAGAGCTGATTTATTAATACATTTGGCTTTCAGAGTGTTCAGTTGATAATAGCGTGATGATTTCAAGCACCAAAAATTCTACATGTTCATTAGGGAGATGGTTTCCGGGAAATTTTAATTTTCTAGTGATGCCTAATTATAGAAGTGAATATACTTTAATGTCTTAGTACACTCAATCACATTATACCCTTTTTGATCACACGTAACATTAAAATTAATAGTAATGATACACTTAAATGCAGAACAAAGATGAGCCAAGGAAAAAATTAGGAAAATGATGATACACAGTGGCGCACCCAAACTCTGCTGCAACACAACCAGACAAGGCTCTCCAGATCTCAGTGTGGAGAACAGCGAAGGGTGTGTGTGTGTGTGTGTGTGTGTGTGAGATAAAATGTATACATACATACACACACACACACATATATATACACATACATATATACGTTTCTGTATGTATATGCACCTGCATCTGTGTGTGTATAGAGTGGTTCAGAGCACGAGACGACAAATCAGGGAGCCTTGGCTTAAACCCAGCCCTGTCCTAGTAGCTGTGTAATTGTGACTTTGGGTGTATTAATTTCTCTAAGCCTCAGTTTCCTCATCCATTAAAAAAAAAAAAAAGAATAATATCAACCTCGTAAGTTTGTGGGAGTAAGGAGCTAATATATACATGATATTTGGGTGAGCCTAAAATATAATAACAGCTCAAAAATTATAGCTATTATTATCAAGAAGCAATATCCCAGTCATTGGACATGTGGGCACATTCCTATATATAATTTATTGCATACCACCCGGTCTTAGTGCTCAATTGACATGCTTGAATCTTGGAACCAGTAAGGAACAAACCAGGATTCAAATCTATGGTTACCCTACTTCAAAACTGAGGAGCTTACATATTACTTCTGGACAAATGCTGACAGAACTGGCTGGAGAATCCCATTCTTGAGGGACTATACCGTAGACCATGTCAGTATGAGACTGATTATCCATCCAGATCACTGGATTAGTGGCCTTTTTCAATTTCATAACATCTGTACAACATTGAGGTCTGACCTGCTTCCATCCCATTCCCAGGCTAGTGGAGGCTTGCCAACTCAGGTGCCAGGGCAGATTTAGTGATCAAAACTTAAGTGTTAAGAAATGTATCACTCCAGCTTCATTTCTTGGTCAACAACTTGTCTCTGGATGCCTAGTATCATTAGTGAAGATGTGCCCTGATGCAAAGTCCAAGCAGATCCACCTACATATAACCAAGAGTACCTCCTCCTTTCTCCTAGGGCAGGACAGATGCTGGGAGTGTGTTTTTAAGGGACAGGTGGGACCTTCATGCCCATGTATGCAGAGCCCCACAGCCCTGGATGTTGCTGCAGAAATTTCCATAAAGCCCAGGACAACTGCAGAATGGAGTTCAAGTCCTATAGTGGTTTGCAGTCTCCTTTCACACACAAGACCAAAGCCTGGGCCTGAGTAGAAGTTGTAGTTACCTTTCTCTTTGCCAACTCTCTAATTCCATTCTTTGCCAACTCTCTACTTCAGGAAGTTTTTGCAGTCACTCACTGATTAGAAAGTCAAAGTCACAGTCCGCATGGAAAATACGATTCTAACCAGGGCATGTGGTGTGTTCTCCTTGGCCGAAAGCCTCTTACTTTACAACGCAGGACACTCACAGGCTATGAACCCTAACCAAACCAACTGGCTCCACTAATTCCGTGGTGTTCCTGCTCCTGCCCCCTCCCTCTCCCTCTGTTACCTATTTTAGAGCACTCTTCTGTATACTAACTTCTTTGGCTTGATTGTAAAGCCTCCTATCATTGGTCCCTAGTTGGAAAAATTCGGAATCCTGGACTTTATTCCATCTAGCTTCATCCTTTGAGAACTGAGATCCAAACATCTAAATCCCTCATTTACCCTGCCCACAAATGTTAACCTTCTACACTGAACCAGAAAGTAAAACTCAATTTCCCTTGATAAGTTTTGTATCTAAAGCTACAAAAGGAGACTTTTCAGAAGGCCATTACAAATGTCATGAGGGTCCTCACCAGGCAAAAACCAAAGAAATAAAAAACGAAAGAGGAAGGCATGGAGGGCGGGAGGAAGAAATTCAGTTAGAATTCTTCATAACATCCAGGAGAGAACTAACATTCCCCCATACTGCCAGAGCATGTGACAGACCGCCTGAGGACAGGCAGTTAGCAACTGCGGTTCTATTTCAAGAGACATTTAACCTGTGGTGTATCTGCAGTGGTATAGTTAGGAGACAAGTCATAAAGTCATTCTATGGAATCTTCTTGATAACTTTATCACCTCATGGGTGGGGGGAAAGAAAAAAGACCAGGAGTCGTCACTGCTTAGAAAGTTCAACAAAACGCATGGAAATATGTTAGCAAATATCTTTACCTTAAATTAGATGCCAGTTTTCTTACAGTTTCCTTGACAGATGTGCTTTGAGAAGACTCTTTCAGTAAAGCAGCAATGTGACAACAACCACTCACAGTGAAGCTGGTGTTGTGTCCAGGACTTGGACTTAAATCTTCCATCGGCGCGCTGTGCAAAAACAAGCCAAGGCTTATAATTTCAAAGCAGGAATCGTTAGGTACCAATGAATTCGGAAACATTAATAGACGACAAATGAACTGTTAATACACAACAAATGAGAGCAAGGCCATAAATGTCATGCTAAAAACTGTCATTTAGGGAGTTACAGAAAATCCATTCTCAACTAGAAAAATTACTATTTATTCCTGACAAATCTTGTTTCAAGGTTTTGGGGGGAGCCACAATTAAACAGAATTGGCGGTAATGTATTCTTAACAACGGTAGTCACATACCATTTGTCTCATTTGCTGAAAGAGGCTTTTAAACCAAAGTTCTATGTTAGCCTGGGGGAAGGTACATACAGAAATAAAACAAAAAGGGGCAAAGTCAGTTGAAAGAACTATTTAGTCAAGATCTGAAGGAAAAAGGGTGTTCCAGGTGAAGTGTAATGATCCTGGGTAGAAATGAAGCAGGGCCGCTGGGGTGGAGTGTGCGGGGAAGGTGGGGGGTGGGGAGGGGGCCGGTACCTTGGGCCAGGGGCCGGAACTGGAGTTTATTCTAAGCAGAGCAGGCACGACCACCGAAGGGTTTCTTGCATGGAAGCAAGGTTATCTGCTGTATGTTTTCAAAGGATAACTGGCTGCAGCACGGAGAGTAACACACAATGAGGATGCTCAGAATCGTGCAGTGTGTTAAGGAGACCCAAAGCTTTCAATATTGTGGGAACAAAAAACGTTCAGGAGGGCTGGGGGACTTGCAATTTGGGAGACAAAACTCTGTAGGCAGGTAGGGGTCAGATCACGTAGGGATTTGCTTGTCAAATAAGGAGGGGGTTTTTGTAATCCTTTCATGCTAAGTGTTAAGACCACAGCTCTGGAGAGTTTTATATGTTTATACTGTATGGGTCATTTAAAAATTGGACAAGAGTTAATATCAAATAGAATGTGTTTCTACTGTCAACAGCTTTTTGGCATTAATTCTCCTAACTTCAGTTGATATTTTATTTAAGGCTAAGAACATTATAACTAATGCTTGTCTCTTAAAGAATACTTATACAGGGGCGCCTGGGTGGCTCAGATGGTTAAGCATCTGCCTTCGGTCAGGTCATGATCCCAGGGTCCTGGGATCGAGCCCCGCATAGGGTTCCTTGCTCAGCGGGAAGCCTGCTTCTCCCTCTCCTTCTACTGCTCCCCCTGCTTGTGCTCTCTCGCTCTCTCTGTCAAATAAATAAATAAAATCTTAAAAAAAAAAAAGAATATTTATACAGTATCTGAAGCCTATGAACTGTAACTTCCTTTATGCTGAAATTTTATTAAAGTAGTCCTCTAAAAATTTTTTTTATCATTTTTTGGGATGCTGAAAAATCATGCTGGCGCTGGGGGATAAAAGGTAAAATGCACTACACCTGAGCACAGAGTCCTCTCTGAACCTGTTTCTCTTCCTGCCAAATAATAATAGTGCCGACCTCCAAAGGAAAGGGAAACGAAAGTGAAAATGAACTTTTGGGACTTAATCAAGATAAAAAGCTTCTGCACAGCAAAGGAAACAGTCAACAAAACAAAGAGGCAACCCACAGAATGGGAGAGGATATTTGCAAATGACACTACAGATAAAGGGCTGATATCCAAGATCTATAAAGAACTTCTCAAACTCAACACCCAAAAAACAAATAATTAAATCAAAAAATGGGTAGAAGACATGAACAGACACCTCTCCAAAGAAGACCTACAAATGGCTAACAGACACATGAAAAAATGTTCATCATCATTAGCCATCAGGGAAATTCAAATCAAAACCACATTGAGATACCATCTTACACCAGTTAGAATGACAAAAACTGACAAGGCAAGAAACAACAATTGTTGGAGAGGTTGTGGAGAAAGGGGAACCCTCTTACACTGTTGGTGGGAATGCAAGTTGGTACAGCCACTTTGGAAAACAGTGTGGAGGTTCCTCAAAAAATTAAAAATAGAGCTACCCTATGACCAAGCAATTGCACTATTGGGTATTTACCCCAAAGATACAGAGGTAGTGAAAAGAAGGGCCACATGCACCCCAGTGTTCATAGCAGCAATGTCCTCAATAGCCAAACTGTGGAAAGAGCCGAGATGCTCTTCAACAGATGAATGGATAAAGAAGATGTGGTCCATATATACAATGGAATATTACTCAGCCATCAGAAAAGATGAATACCCAACTTTTACATCAACATGGATGGAACTGGAGGAGATTATGCTAAGTGAAATAAGTCAAAAAGAGAAAGACAATTATCATATAGTTTCACATATTTGTGGAACATAAGGAATAGCATGGAGGTCATTAGGAGAAGGAAGGGAAAAATGAAGGGGAGGGAATCAGAGGGGGAGACGAACCATGAAAGACTATGGACTCCAAGAAACAAATTGAGGGTTTTAGAGGGAAGGGGGGTAGGGGCATGGGTTAGCCCGGTGATGGGTATTAAGGAGGGCATGTATTGCATGGAGCACTGGGTGTTACATGCAAACAATGAATCATGGAACACTACATCAAAAACTAATGATGTAATGTATGGTGACTAACCTAACACAATAAAAAAAAAGAAAGAAAAAAGCACTGGAAATGACCCTGGCTCCCTGACACTGTGCCTCACTTGATAGCCCTAAACCAGCTCTTTCCAGGCTTATTTTACTTCAGAAAAATAAATTTCTATTGTACTAAAGAATAATAATAATAATAATAATAATAATAATAATAATAATAATAATAATAGTGCCGACCTCACAGAGATGTGCTGAGGATTAAACAAGACATACAAAGAATTCAGCCCAACCCCTACACTTAGGAAGTGCTCAGTAAATAGCACCTAATTATTATTGTTATTATGATCATCTTTATCCTCACTACCACTATTAATGAGTTTGATAAGATTCTTCCACGAAGACAGTTTTTTTTTTTTTTTAAAGATTTTATTTATTTATTTGACAGAGAAAGACACAGTGAGAGAGGGAACACAAGCAGGGGGAGTGGGAGAGGGAGAAGCAGACTCCCTGCCGAGCAGGGAGCCCGATGCGGGACTCGATCCAGGGACTCCAGGATCATGACCTGAGCCGAAGGCAGTCGCTTAACCAACTGAGCCACCCAGGCGCCCACGAAGACAGTTTTAATTGGACCACAGTTCTAACATTTCATGTTGTATATACAATTCAAAGATGATTAAAAAAAAAAGACACACACAACCTCATACAAACCTGAAAGCAACATATAATACACACACACGCACACACACACACACACGATGTGTTTTAGTTTTTGGATGAATTTTAAACTTTAACTCAAACTTTAATAAATAACTCTAGGTTAAAGCACTGTCCATAAAGTGGCACAGCAACCACATGAGGGGGAAACTGCCTCATTTAGTCAATCAACAAATATACTAACTCTGAATCAGCTGTTATTCTGGACACTAATGACACAGAGGTGGGCAACACAGCCTTGTTCTTGTGGAGGGAATTAGCTCCTAGTGAAAAAGATAGAAAATAAGCAAGCTAGAATGTAACACATTAAAAGAAACAGATTAGTCAATAAGATACTTTAAAATAGTAGTAAGTACTCTGAAAAAAAACATGCAGGATGCTAAGATCTGATAGTGTGCCTTATCAGGAATGGGACAGGCTATTTTAGATGGATTACTATGGGAAGACCTCTCAGACACCTAGAGTTATGATGAAGAAAAGATACGGCCCCCGTCCTTATGGGAAGACAGACTTTCAGACGGACAATTCCACTTGACAATGATCAGAATACAGCTGATATTTAACAGATAATTTTTTAAAGATTTTATTTATTTGAGAGAGAGTGAAAGTGGGAGAGATCACAGATCTCCAGAGAGGGAGAAGCAGACCCCCTGCTGAGTGGAGAGCCTGATGTGGGGTTCGATCCCAGGACCCTGGGATCATGACCTGAGCTGAAGGCAGTCGCTTAAATGACTGAGCCACCCAAGCGCCCCTAACAGATAACTACTGAAGTTGAAGGAGTTATGACCACTCTAATTACTGCATCAGTGGCTCTCTGAAACCTTGAGTTTGCCTGTGAGAGTTGAGGGTCCCAGAGGAGAGAACACTTGAACTCGAACTTGAAGGAAAGAGTAGTAGACTGGTGTACAGCTTGCAGAGGGCAAAGGAAGCAGTGTGGACAGAGATGCAAGTGTGATAAAACAGGACCCAAAGCAACTCAGAAATTCTGGGAAACAAAGTGGGAGCTCCAGGAAGGGCCAGGAGTGAAGGGGACTTGCGCCGTGCTAAGGAATTTGTAACTTATCCTGCAAGCGATGGGGCCATGAGAGGCTTCTGAGTAGAACAGTGAAGTGAGGGGATTTGAGTATCAGAGGGACTCCTCTGTCAGCAAGTGCAGAAAATCAAACTCCTCTCTGTTTTTTCTGACACTCAATTCAATGTGCTCTTATGCAGAAAGAGCCCAAGATTTGGATTCATAGACACTGGGTCTAAATGCCTGGAAAGCACCTTTGACAAATTTGTCTAAGTGAGGGTAAGGGTTTGCTTCCTTGAAAACATTCTTTGTTTTATTGGGCATCCAAAATATTCAGCTGATTTTATGTTAAAAGTGACAAAAGTCTCATGTCAAGAAAATTCTAGCATGCAATAATTATCATATTACATATATGTATAACAGTAAGATAATGAGCCACACAAAAAAACAGGTTCCTGATTGCATATTCACACCTTATACCTATATGACATTTTCAGTTCTTTGACTACATTACAGTAATTTGAATTAGTTGCTCACTGTGAGTAGGAAGTTAAGCCTGTTCCATTTCATTATCTCCAAATCCTCACAAAAGAAAATAAAAAGGTTTGGGAAAAAGGTAAGAAACCTAGCCGTATTTATTCTTTCTTGTCTCCTTTGTAAATTTGGTTCCATTCTTAATTGTCTTTGCTTGTTGCTATTATTTTCTTTCTTCTTGTATTTAAACATTGATAATTACTTTGCAACAGTCTAATTGCACTCACTTAGAATTTATGTAATTGCAGTACACTCACCTTTCCCGGTTAGGTAATGAAGAGCTTCTCTTTATTTCTGGAGTATCACTGCACGGCTCCTGTTTTTCTTCAAAAGACAGACAAAATGAAGACAATCACATTTTGATGATCACACAGTAACGTGAACTGAAAGAAGTGTCGGCAGTTTATTAACTACTTATAGATAATTTGGCTTTGTATTCCAAACATCCTCTTGTAAAAAACGCACCAATATGTTCTTTATGCAACTTATAATAACCTTTTAATAAAGTGTAGATGGTGTATCTAATAATCCAAGAACCTTTGTAACTTGTTTTTTTGTAAGTTCTTTTTCATGATGCTTATTATCTGTGACTGGTGTGCATGGGGTGACTGCTTGGGGCCGTCAGATTCCCTTCTCTCACCAGACTCTGCCCAGACAACCTCCTGTCTTCCCCCTAGAATCCCATTCTATTCCATTTTAGGTTCCAGTTCAAAAGCATCCTAACAGATCCCAACCCCAAACATGTCTCTAGTAGAGAGTCGAACTTTAAAGCAGGAAGAGACCTGGTGTCATCTAGTCAACCTTCTCACTGAGGGAACCTCATTATTGTATGTTCAGAGAGGTTGGTGATCCGTTACAGTTCACAGAAGAGTAGAAATGCTCTGACTCCTTGGATTGGTTTTAAGAGTGTCTTGGAGGCAGTAGACGCAATAAGTCAACGTGTCATTCTTCCACCTGTCTCTAGAATTCATTGTGGTAACTGTCCACATATCTTATTCCACCAAGTAAACCCTTGCCAACAAGTTGAGGGCCATCAAAGGCCAAGTGGAATAGCACAGCGACAAAGGAAGTTTTAGATGGTGGGTGAATGGCTGAGGATCTGACTCCTTTAGGTACATATAAAAGAGAAAACACAGAGGTTTTCTAAGCATACTGCAGGTGCTACTAGTTTTACTCACTGGCTTGCATACAAAGTGAAATTTTTTTAGCCCAACGGCCAACTAATCTATAATTACAGTCATTTAAAATCATTTCACAATTTGTTCTTTCCAAACCCAGGATGAATATTTGAAATTAAATACTAATTTTAGGATCAAAATTGTATTAACAATTTTTCCATTACGATTTGGAAATCCAACAGGCACGTACTTGAAATCATGTTAATACTTTAAAACTTCTATAAAAGACTGGCTTTAAGATTAAGAAAGCCTTACAAAAGAAATACTGACTGTGAAATTGCAAATTATCCTAATTAAGATGAGAAATAAAAAGCTGTGATTTCTTAGGGACCTCACTAATGGGTTCAAATATAAAGATGTGCATGGATGGCTGATTAGGTTACCTGAGTAACAAAGTATGAAGGGAGAGCTTATGACCAAAAGTGAGCACAGAGTGATGCCATGGACCAATACAAGGACTGGGAATGATGAAGCCAAAAGGAGCTGAGGCTTGTCAAAGAGGCTAAGAAAAACTTTAGAACTTATTTCAGAATAAGAGGAGGACCATGAAAATGATGGGCTTGCTGCTCAGGCCCAATGGTAGAATATTAAAATAAAAGAGAGAATGGTATGATAATAATAATATAACACATAATAAAGGGGTTGGTCATAATAATGAATGGACGCTAAGAAAACAAAATTTTGAGTCCAGTTTGCTTCCAGCTTCTCTATCCAAAGAAATTGGTTTTGGATTGAATATTATAAGATGGCAACTCTAAGTTTAAAAAAAGCTCGTCTCTCACTTGAGACAAAAGATGTCCCATGGGGATAAAGGAACTAATGGATATGTTGGTGAACTGGTCTATGGGGAATCAGGAAAAGCAGGAAAAGGACTACATAATTGAAGATAGAGAACCGTCATCATAATTTTCAAAATACAGTCTGAATAAAAGAGCTCATATCAATCTACTGCAAATTTTCGAAACAGAATTCAACACAGAGAGTGGTCCAAGTCTACTGCTGGAGATGTCAGGCCGTGTGTGGCGGAGCTGGGGGGACTCTCCTTGGGAAGGGAGTGTCTCTTGGCTCTTCCAAAACACACGGGATTGGCAGCTCACTCTCCACCCAGCCCTCCTCCCACTTCTGGAACAACACATTTTAACTTTTAAAAATCCAAACTGCTACCAAACTTCTGATCTATATTCCACATCAGATGTGCCGTGTAAGTCATATTGAAAACAACTCAAACATCACAGCTAATATAGGTAAACTGAATTTTTTTTACCTTTTTTCATAAGAGAAACTTCCTTTTTTTCTTGTTTCAATGAGACCTCAGTGTCACTTTTATCTAAAACCTGAAAAATAAGCTGTTTATTTAAAGCTGCACAAAAATATAAGCTACATTATAGGGTGCGAAATGACCTGAGAATCAGTGGCCATATCAGAGAGAGAGGAGAGAAGTAGAGTTTATGCACGTTATGAAGGGAGACAAAGTAATTGTGAGCATTGTAGAAAAGAATATTGATGTGCATCTCAAGGAAGTTTATGTCATAATTGTCATATTTACTTTTACCATTTATCAGGATTTTTGTACTTCTATCAATATTTGTACAGGTATTTTTAAAAATCCATATCTTATGTGAATGTAACAATGACTCCAACAAATGAGCCAGGTATTTGATTCACCAGGAGCAACCACGGAACCTGTGCTGTTTTGAGGAGGGTTATCACACCGGTGGTCGATACAGAGGAGACATGGAGCATGAGCTCAACATCAGCGCAATGAAAACCTTGGGGAGGTTGGGGCCTGGGGCCTGAGGCCCCACAGCATGATGGGGAAGAAAAGGATAGGGATGGGGAGTGTACCTGGGCCAACCAGGGGACAAGACTGGGACACCTTATCTTTTGATAAAATCACAGGAGATCTGCCTAAAAGGGGTTACAGAGCCTTAATGTGTTGAATGCAGGAGCCAAGAGGGCTGGTGGCCCCTGAGAGTGAGTGAGTGTGTGTGTGTGTGTGTGTGTGTGTGTATGATGTCTGGGTGGGTGGGCGGAAGTGGGGGTTGGAAGAGCTGGGGGGCGGGGGGAATGTGCCATCCAGAAGCCATGTCTACCACAGCTTTGGGAAGCCCGAAGACCCATCTTGCAAGGCTCACACAAAACCAACTTACATTTTGGAAATGTATTTCTTTAGATCAGAGAGAGAGAAAGAGAGTTAGTTCACACCCTTCAGGAAAATGGACCTAGAATGTTCCCTTTGTATATTTTGTAAATCTGTGAGAAGGTGGAGGAACAGGTAGTAAAAAACAGAAATGGAGAAGGCAGGGGTAAGGCAAGAGCTCCCTGACCCGAAGACCCTTCAACATGCGCTGAGATACAACTGTGTTCCCCACTCCTATGACCTGGGGGAAGGCGCGGAGCTGTGGGTTCTCTGGAGCTTGCCCACTGTGTCTGTACCCTTCGCCTTTCAAGCCCGCTGTGCCCTGCTAAACAAACGTGGGAGGGAGAGGCGATCACCTCTCTTTTTCTCCCCTGCCAGGAAACACAGGCATATATTTTACACGGCATTCTAGAAACTGTGCTCCGTCAGGAAGCAGGTTAAATGGGCACACATGTAGCCTAGCAACAAAAGACCTGACAGCTGTCAATCACTGCTGCTCCTGTTTCACTCAAAGCCATAACAAGGAAAGTCTTGTTAGGTAGGCGGAAATAAAACTGATTCTGGGGCGCCTGGGTGGCTCAGTCGGTTAAGCATCTGCCTTCGGCTCAGCTCATGGTCCCAGGGTCCTGGGATCGAGCCCTGCATCAGGCTCCTTGCTCAGCAGGAAGCCTGCTTCTCCCTCTGCCCCTCACCCCACTCTTGTGCACACACATACTCTCTCTCAAATAAATAAATAAAAATCTCAAAAAAAACCCTGATGCTAAGCTGCTTTGTTCATTTCAGAATAGTTTTGTACTTATACTGTAAATAAATTCCTGCCCCAGAAGTAAATAAAACGCATGTATTTTTTAAAGTTCATTTTGCAAAATGACCTTAACAATGTACATCTTATTTCTCTCTGATATATCATAAAACTTAGTTTTCTTCTAATATGCTGATACATACAGGAAATCCACATGCCTTAAGTGCCTCTAACTTCAAACTAAATATTTCTTGACCAGTTTATAAGCAGCATAGACTCTTTCCCACAGCAGTTAACAGCAACCACAATATAAGCTGACAAGAGGAGCTATTTAATGCCTTTAGTTACAACCACTTTGTTGTAATCCATGATGATCCAGCTCAGAATGTGTTCCTTTTCTTTGGTAACTCTTCCTTGTGATAAAAATCAGACAAGATGGAATGTTTTTGGGGCGCCTGGGTGGCTCAGTGGGTTAAGTGACTGCCTTCGGCTCAGGTCATGATCCTGGAGTCCCTGGACCGAGTCCCACATCAGGCTCCCTGCTCAGCGGGGAGTCTGCTTCTCCCTCTGACCCTCCCCCCCTCATGCTCTCTATCTCATTTTCTCTCTCAAATAAATAAATGAAATCTTTAAATAAAAGAAACTTATTTTTAGGGCGCCTGGGTGGCTCAGTCGGTTAAGCAACTGCCTTCGGCTCAGGTCATGATCCTGGAGTCCCGGGATCGAGTCCCGCATCGGGCTCCCTGCTCGGCAGGGAGTCTCCTTCTCCCTCTCTCGCTCCCCCCTCTTGTGCTCTCTCTCTCTCAAAATAAAAATAAATAAAATCTAAAAAAAAAAAAAATCAGACAAGATGGAAGCATCCAAGATTAACCAAAATGACAGCACTCTCAGTAGGAACTCTTGGTGGTGGTGTTATTAGCACAGCCTCATGAAATTAACTGTTTTTGCATTTTTTTGTTTACTTCTCTGCTTTGAGCCATGCCTTTAGAGGTTGTTTCCATGAGAGTCAGCTGTGTTCTCTCACTCCAGAAATGGTACTTACACAAAGCTTTCCCATCTAAATTGCAGGAGAGATTATCTTCTTTTCCTTTCCTGTATCTTCTTTATTCTTTGGCATACAGGTGTTTAAAAGATTTTGGATAAATAATGCACAGTATTCCCTTTTAAATAACACTGTAAATATCTGAGTTCACAGGATGCTCTTTTCTACCACAATGTACTTGTGGCTTTGAAGGTCTGAATTTTTTCAAGCTGAGACAACAAGACATACAGCTGTCTTTTCGATGACACTATTTGTATATTTTGATACTGCTTACAACGCTCTTTCATATACATTACTTCATTTCATTACAGAAGTGTTCTTGTCTCTTAGGCTTAACTGTGTTTCATACTCTGCAGTTTGGGGATATCTCTTCCCTAAGATTTTACCTCAGTCATGAAATAGATAACACCTCCCACACAGTAAATGAGATTATAGTCAAGTTTTAACATGCGGTTTTAGATACCTTAATTAAAATTATGTTAACAATGAGCAGAGCGGGATTTGTCAGTTCTCCAAGGGATGCAATGGATCAGCATAATACCACAAGCTCAATTTTGTGAAGTATCTATTTAAGAGGATAAATAAATCATAAATAAGAGAGAGGGGAAAAAAAAAAACATACCACAGTCAGCTGCGTAGCACTTCTCTAATTCAGCTGTTGTTAAGGATGCGTTAAAAACTGGTTGGTATCACTTTACCTGCTTTCTTTCCTTCTATTTCTTTGCCCCTCTATCTCCACCTTTATTATTATCAAGGACCCAAAAAGGCTACCAGACCAGTAACGCCTTCCTGCCAAACTCAAAGGGCCTTTCTGTTTTCACTCTTCCACAGTGAACGTTATGTTCCAGGCTCCCCTCTCATCCATAAATTTATTCCCTAAAATTGAGTTCCCAGTATGGGTCAGACGCTGTTCTGATAAAGAATACAAAGTCCCGCCTTTATGGAGCTTATTTTCTAGTGAGGGAAAAATAGATGTTAAGTAAATAAAAAGATGGATATGTGATGTGATGTCAGGTGATGTTAAGTTCTGCGAAGAGAAGTAACACAGGTAAGAGACCGAGAACAGCCTAAGTCCCCGCACCCTCCATGCCTCCTCCTCTCTACCCACTTCACAACCATGCCAGGTGCCCTCCTCTCTCAAGGTTAGGTTTGTTTGCTGTTGGTTTGCTTGTTCCTCCAACTTTTTTCTAGTTTTTCTTTACACACCCTTCAGCTGGGCCTTTCATGCCAACTCTATACAGAACTGTACTCACTCAGCCTCACCATGCTTCCTCCCCCTTTCGTCTGCTTTCCTTTCCTCCTGAGCCCTTGCCACCATCTATCCTGCAACACAGTTTACTTATTAGTCTTGTCTGGGGTCTGGCTCCCTGACTGGAATGGAAGCACCACGAGGACAGGGAGCATCTTCTTGTGGTATCTCCAGTGTCGACGACAGTAACGGACACTCAGTTTACTCACAGACTCACAAAGTCCTGACCAGACATACGTGTTGCTGGGGGCTGGGGGGAGGAGAATCCAGGCATTACACACATCCAAGGAAAAGTCAGGGAAGCAAAAATAAGCTCGGGCTGTTGGAGGCCAAGGAAGTCCAGGGTGGCCACAGTGAAGAGGAAGAAGGGACGAGGATAAGAACTCAAAAGAGGTCAAGGCCAGGTCACCTAGGGCCTTGGAGGGCACAGCAAGGACGCTGAATTCTGGTCGAAGTGTGAGCAGAAGCCATCAGAGGGTTCTGAGTAGGAGAATGGCATGACCTATCTTTTAGATGAAACAGATTTTTCGACCATGGATGCCAACAGAAGCAGTGAGATCATTTACAGGGCTATTGCGGTAGCCCTGACGAGAGATGTTGGTGAATTCGCCAGGGCGGCAGCTGTGGAAACACAGGGTATACGTTCAAAGGTTGATTGGGCAGGACTGGCTGACAGGCTGAGTGCCAGATGTGAAAGAAGGAGAGGAACTCAGGACGCCTCCTAGGCTGGGGCCTGAGTAGCTGTGAATGGTGGTGCCATTTATTGAGATGAGGAAGCATGAAGAAGTCTCTCGCTGCTCCTTCTTCCCTTGAATTCTATAACCTTCTGTGTCCCAAATCTCCCAGGATCTTTATTTTTCTGCCCACACTTAATCCCTCAACAAACCTATTAAAATTTCAGGGGTCCAACCATTCCCCGTATGCAAACAATGGCCTGATCAACATCACCAGCCCTAACTTTCCACCTTTGCTCCAGTTTGCTTCCAACGGACATCGCGACACTTGCAGGGTTTGCTGGAACTTCAGATCTTCAGCCCCATGGGTACCCACTCCGATCCCTTCACTCAGACATTGATCCCCCGACAGAGGCTGCTGCATCTACAGGGGGTGACCTAAAAGAATTTCTACTTCCTTCCCATCTGGGGTTAACGGGGACAAATCTGAACTTTACACATGGGTTTGGAAATGCCTGAGACAGAAAGAGTCCAGAATCAGAGAGGGCAGGGTATGTGTTTTGAACATGGAAGATGAAACTTTATTGGATAGGTCAGACTTAGGGTGGATAAGGGGAGACATGAGCTAAAGGGAAGTTAGCTTAATGTGGGCAAGGACTATGGACTGATTTTTTAAAATGAATTCAAGATTCTTGCCTGGAGAAGGCCCATCTACGGAATTTAGGAAACCAAAATGCTGAATGTTATTCAATGCGGTATCTATTTGTACCTTGAAATTCTTGCCCCTGAGTAAAGTCTGTGTACTCCAGCCAACCTGTGTGGAATGCTCTGGGTGAACAGACATGGAGGACAGTGCAGGCAGATGGAAGATAAAGGGAGAAGTCATAAGGAGACGAGGTTAAAAAAGTGGGAGGTCAAGCTCAACAGCTCGGGTTCAAGGTGACCACTTCCTGGCAGTGTGACCCTGAGCAAGTTTATCTTCCTCACCTGTAAGATGGGGATGAAAAGAGAATTTAACCCCTCAGGTTAAATTCAGAAAAATCAGATGAGATGATACACGTGAAGCACAGTACCTGAATTTCATCATGGCCACAAAGAAAGAGGAAAGGCTCACCCCACTAACACACACATACACAGGAACACACACAGAAGAATTTCAGAATAAAGTTTTACAGGGTCAGAGATAATAAATCTGGATCACATCAGTACCCCTTAAGGGGTAGAGGGGACAATACCTGTGCTAACAAGATCATGAAAAATAACGAAAGAAGTTTGCTGCAGTGCAAACGGATAGCCCCACACGTAATGTCTCCAAGGGTCCAACGGGGAGGTTACCTAGGGCATTTTGAAGAGGTTTAATATGTTCTTTAAAAACTCCTCATTATTTTCACGACAGTTTTTTAATCTCTAGAAAATGCCTAGAGTTTTAACTGAGTCCCAGTTGGGGACTTCCACGGTGCCAAATGACATGCAAGGTCTGACCAAGAACACTCTCACTGCATGGACTTTGAAAATGAATGGACCGTGCTGGCTAGAAGGCCAGGCAGAAATTAATATCAAGAAGGAAAAAAAAATGCCAGAGGCAACACCAGCAAACTATGGGATCAGAAGCAATTGGAGAAAAGGAAAAATGAAGCCCAGTGCCACATGGATGATCCTGGAGCATGCTAAGTGTGAGACACGGTGTAGAACAAAAAAGACAAACCTTAAAAATGACTAGAGAATGAGCATTATCTCAATGGGAAAAGAAATAAAACTAAAGAATATGTTTTTCTTAAAAAATAGCTTTCAGGGACGCCTGGGTGGCTCAGTCATAAAGCGTCTGCCTTTGGCTCGGGTCATGATCCCGGGGTCCTGGGATCGAGCCCCACGTCAGGCTCCCTGCTCGGCGGGAAGCCTGCTTCTCCTTCTCCCACTCCTCCTGCTTGTGTTCCCTCTCTCGCTATGTCTCTCTCTGTCAAATAAATAAATAAATAAATAATCTTTTTAAAAAAATAGCTTTCATAGACCATAGGCCTTGGAGAGAAAAGAATATGAAGAACATTCAGCCAAGAATGGGGTGGAATGGGAGGAGGAGGAACTTAGGAAAACAGGTCCAACTGCTGTAACCCTGAGCCACAGCAGACAAGATGATCTGGGAGAATGAATGATAACCAGCAGTCACCAGCAGTGGTCAGATTCGAGAGAGATCTGAACGGCCATCAATACTCTCATCATTTCAGGCGAAGTTGCACAAATGTAGCACAGCCCGAGGGAGGTGTGCCCGGAACTTGGAAAAGAGAAAAATGAAGTACACCGCTATGAAAAAAAAATCCGTTCAAAAGGCAGACGGACAGACACAGCAAAGGAAAGCAGGCGCTTAAAGGAACGGACTCGTTCTCCATTCAACATGAGAAAGATACACTCCTAGGAGCACAGGTGGAACAGGGCCTGGGTGCTGGGCCAGTGCCCCGTTTAGTGGTATAGCCAGTCATGTGGGTAACATCATCACTGTCACGCTTTAGGGGGAGGGCGACACGGCAGCCTGTCTTAGCTGGAAACCTTGTAAATATGCAGGCACATAACTCACCAGCAATTGTCAGACCAGAACTGGCCAGCCCATGCAGATTGGCACAAAGGGGGAGAATGCACGGTGTAAGTCAGCGTGTGCCTTCCAACTGGACGGAGGCTCTATTTATCTTTCAAATGACCCAACCGCTATTACGATATTATACAACGGTCCCATCAGTTTGGATAATGTAAAATCATCCCTGTGAGGTGGGCTTTCTTTGATGTGCTGAACCTATATTTCTCAGCCTATTACACTTGAAAATAAGGCCCTGGGCCCCAGGAAATTCACCAAAATAATAAAAACCACCCGGCTGCGGGGAGATGAGAAGTGTCAGTGTAGTAGCTAATTCTGTTTCTTTAAGTGATAACCTCTCGCAGCACCGTTGGTCCTGAGTGCCTTCCTTCTTTAAATGAGACAGGCACGGAGTCAGAATTAAAGCATGTGCACAGACACACACAATGGAAGCACGATAGGGAGAGAAGAACTGGGTAGAAGGCTAGGGGTTAAGAAGAATTATTTTTTAATTTATGAGTTTAAGAAAGTACAAACACTCAGAAGCAATTATTTCCTACTGGAATTACTGCAACTACAGCCAAACACAGAAATTAATGTGCATCTGTGGATAATTCATATTTATCGAAATAAATCAGGCACCCTGAGTCTGAGAACAGACTTCCCACGAGGATCAATGGGGCACAAATAAATCCTAGCCCCCCCAACACACACACAAGTAACATAAAACTTGAGAACTATTACATAAAAAGACAACAATTTTAATATAAATGTCATACGTAATTTATGAAAAAGTCCTCGCTAAAAGCTGTATGCAAAGCTTAGGGAGGGGACAGAGGGAGGGCTACGTGAAAGACCGACAGGATTCTAGAAAGCAGGTGGGGACTGACATGGCTCACGGGGGCAGCGACATCATGTTCTCTACAATACTAGTTGCATTTCCTCTTCCTTTCTGGTTGCTGATTAAATTTTGACTCTTTTCCTTTTGAAAAATACTTTGGTGTTTCCTTTCTTCACATCCTGGATTTACTTGTTCCTTTTTGTCACTACGAAGGTTTTCTCCTGCTCCCTTTCACAAATGACTCCTAGACCTTCTCAACATCCCTTCAGATGGCCTCTTAACGTAATTAAAGTTTATGGAAGAAGCCATGTGATGCCTGGGAGTAAGGGGGCAGGCAGGGAACGTGGATGAGACAAGACTGGCCGTGAGTTGGTCCCTGTGGAGCTGGGAAATGGGCAAACAGGAGTTGATGGTACTAGATTTGAAATATTTCATCATGAAAAAAGTTTTTTAAATAAAACCTCCATTACTGTTATACTGTGTGCCTTCTGACAATGATTTTCTGCTGATGGGCACAGACATTAGGCCTAAGTCAGAAGACATATGGTCTTTATTGGCTTGCTGGTAAATAAAACCTAATCCACAATTCCAAATAGCATTCTGAGATATCTCACCTAAAGACAGGTACAATGAGACCAGGCCCCTTTCTTTTTTGGAGGGTGGGGGGGAGAAAGAGAACGCGCATGTGCACTGGGAGGGGGGGCAGAGAGTGAGGATCTTAAGCAGGGTCCACACCCAGCATGGAGCATGACATAGGGCTCGATCTCACGACCCTAAGATCATGACCTGAGCCAAAATCAAGAGTCCGACACTTAACCGACTGAGCTACCCTGGCAAGGCCAGGCCCCTTTCTAAATACTCTCCCTTATATTATCATGTCAACAGACAGCAACCATTTAGGTGACTATAGTTATTCTTATTTAACGTTTAGCTATAAGCTTCTTGATGGTCAAAGTAAAAAGAGAACTCACTATAGTGAGCAATACAATTCATATTCTAATAAAAGGAAGCACCAAATAGATTTTTTCCTGACATGAAATTCTAATGTCTAAATGAAGTTTTAAATTACAGTGCAAAGAACACTAAACAGCATACTGGACAACGTCTTTAACGTGGCTTCACAGATGCAGTGTTCCTCACATGGCCAGTCCTTGAGTCAATTCTTCCTAAATACCAAAGGCTTTCTTTCACACTTGCATCAGTGAGGCAAAGTGAGTCTGCTGGGATCTACAGGACAGTCAGATACAAAGCTCTTAGATAGTGACTACCAACGTTAGAATCAGGGATACATCTGATTTCTTGAGTAAACAGAAATACATCTCTATTTCTTGAATAGACTTCTCTAGGGCTTTTGGCAGTGGCCTAACTAAGTCAATTGAGAATTACACTTTCTGGTGGGGATCCATATTATAAATTACAGAAAAGGTCATATGCTTTGGATTTGGGCATATAGGTTTCAGGCTGACCTTCAAGTTATATACATACACATATCTTTTATATGGATTTGCATACTATTAAACTTTCTCACCATGACAATTAAAATGAAAAGCATCATGGATTAGTGGTCAGGACATACAAACCCCAGTTCTATTTTCATTCGTTTCTATAGCCTTGGATATGTAACTAACTTTTCTGAGTCTTGTTTCTTCACCTAAAAACTAGGTTATTTAATTAAATGTTTCAGTTACTTTGAGGTACTAACATGACATGCTTCTTGAATTCCTCTAATCTTCATGAATGTGAATCAATCTCAAGGTGCCATTTAGCCTATGAAATTTATCTCACCAGGATTATATCTGGATAATCGCTGTTGCTAGTTTCAACTTCAATCAAAGCCTGGCATTCCTGTACAAGGTTTTGACTCTGCTTCTTATTGATTTCCCAAGAAGAGGCCTATGGCAAGATATTAACAGAAAATATACAAGGGTTAGGAGCAATCACTGGTATACACATTAAACCACATTTATTCAGCCTCTATTCAGTTCTGTACAGAAGCAAACTTCTGTAGGATAAACAGGAAATTCAATTTCTGATCTTTGCCCTCAAGAAGTATATGATTTAGATAAGCACTTGCAAAAGTTAAGTAACAATACACAACAATAAAATAAGAGTATCATAAGGCAAATTAGGTGTGAAACGAGTGCTTCAGACCATGGGCCTCACTAGTGAATCAAAGGGCTGGTAGTATTTTGCAAACGATCTCCATGAATTACTGCCCATACACTGAATAAATAACATCTCATATGGATATACACATTGCTCTTAAAATTTATGTAGATGTTGCTGTGAGGACATAAGATATACATTCATTTCAAAATATCTGTGAGGGCTTTCTCTTACATAGTTCTTAATCAATAGATTCCAGGCATGCCTAGTATTACGTGAGATGTCTGTGTCATTTTTAAAAAAGATGTCCTCATACTTGAAAAGTTGGGAAACAGTGGTATGAAAAATGTATGATGCAAGCAAAGGTCTCCTTTGATTGGAATGGCTACCAGTAGACTCTCAGCTTCTCAGGAGCAAGAACTATGACAATCTCTGAATCCTCAGCACCTGGCCCAACATAAATGCTTAGTATATGTTTGTTCAGTGGAATGAATTAACAAAGGACACTGAGAGAAAATTAAAGGGAATTAAAAGCTGCAGATGTAGGAAACAATAAGAATATTATTTTTACTGGGAGCCCTGCTTTCAGGAGATGGGGGGAAAGTTGTTGAGGATAAAGAAAGTGGAACCTCTGAGAAACACAAGGGTGTGATAAAAACAATTCTCTAGGAAGAACAATTAATTAATTACCTGTGTTAATAAAGCTGAACTGTGGTACATTTAAGTTAAAACATTAGCTAATTCCCAGAGCCATTGTTTTGGGGTTTTTTTTTACTGTATATTTAAGAATTTTATTTATTTATTTTCTTTTTATTAACATATAAGGTATTATTTGTTTCAGGGGTACAGGTCTGTGATTCATCAGTCTTACACAATTCACAGCATCCAGAGCCATGTTTTCAAGCTTTGGGAGCACATTATAAGACTGACTCGGGCATATCTGCCTTCCTAATTCCATCTACTTAGGCTATGTTAAAATTAATGACACTTCCCGCACCTCCTCTGGTAGTGGTAATGCCCAGTGTGCTTACTGGACAGAATATTAGAAATTTACTGCAAATGATCCTCAAGTAATTGAAAGCTGTTTCAATTGCAGTTTAAAACTTGGTTAAATTCATTTTTCAAATTTCGGGAATTCCAGAGTCTCCTGATCTATCTGCCCCAATTCTAGATTTTTGTACAGAACATCTTCTGAAGTGAAATTATCTTGTGTTTCCAAGAGTTGACATACAACCTGTCTCCATGTCTTCACCTTCCACCTGCTAGTCTGGTTTCTACCCCCTTCACTCCAACAAAAACAATAAAATTCTTCCTGAGATCATCCCTATTACCTCTAAGTCATTAAGTAAATGGACTTTTTTAGGCCTTTCAATAGAATCTCGCCTCTCTGACTAATTCTCCTTGAACTGACATTTCCCCCTCTTGGCTTTAGTGAGGAAACAAGCGCCTGGTTTGTCCTCTTCCTGCCCGGCCAGACCTTCACCATCATCGGAGCACCCTGACCCCGACAGCTAGCCATTAGGTGCTAAAATCCCTCAGGCTTCTGTCCAGTCTTTCTTCTCTTCTTACCCTTACTCCTCACTTGGCTTGTCCTCTTTGAGGTGTCAAACTATGGAAAGTGATCTCCCCCCACAGGCCCAGCCACCTTCTAGGAGTCTCCATTTCAAAGAATGGAACCACCATCCAACCAGGTGCAAGAGCCAGAAATTCTGTAGTCCTTGCCATTTCCCTCTGCTTCACCTTCTATACCCAATACATCACCAACACAGCTCAGTGTCTCCTCCTCAAGACAAACACACAAGTAACGAATGCACCCACTCCTCTCTGCTTGGCTGCCATCACCCCAGCCCCATTGGCCAGTGTTTCCCCAGAAGACCACTGTTAACAGCCCCCTGACTGCTCCGCCTGCATTCACAGCAGGCTTCCATACTCAGCCAACAGTCTTTTCTAAAGGAAGATCTGATCACACCACTTCCTTTCCATGGTGTCCCACTGCTTTTAGGATAAATGCAAAACCCCTTGTCAAAGCCTATAGGACCTGCATGGTTCTGGGCACTCCCTACGCACCTCACACCATAGCCCCTTTCTATCTCTCTGCCCTGCCAGAGCTTCCTTGTCTTCTTAAGGTACTCTGAATTCACCAGCATTCTTCTTTAGCACATGTCTGCATTGTCTGGAAATGCTCTTCCTCTCTTTTTACCCATTTAATTGGAATTCAATCCTAAAAAATTCAGTCATCGCTTTTTCAGGATTTTCATCACTTTTTCCCATTCAGTCCTCCCAGGAAGGGTCAAATCCCCTATTATAAGTACTCATGCTACTAAGTCATTAAAAACTGCCACAGTAGCAGTTTACATTTGTCTAATTATTGGATTGTCTGTCTCTGTGGAAGTTTAATGCGAGTAGGGACTCTATGTGGGTTTGCTCACAGTTAAATTCCCCATAGTTGGCTAGCATACTGAGTGGCACATAATAGATGATTTTATACACACACACACACACATACACACACACACACACACCCCCACACACTAAGTGAATCATTACAGTTAAAGTCTAAAATGTGTTATTTTAACACCTGGGCACACTTCAACTTCTCAATCACTTTTATGTTTTTAGAGCATACAACCTACTCATAAAATATGTCAACAAATCCCAAATCTTGAAATTGCCCACTAAATGAGTGGAAATCAGGCTTAAAGGAGATAGGACTCTAAAATGATATAACTACCTTTTATATTATATACATGCAGTACTTTAGACACAGCAAAGATTAAATAAATATCTTCTGAATATATGAACTTTGACTTGTAAGTCAAAGTAATTATGGCAAATAATTCTGTCGATTGTAGACAGTTTTTTTCCTATAGTCTTGAAGAAAGATTTAGGGCCCAAACTTCAAAATTATAGGGAACTGAACTTCAAATATTTTAAGAGAATGAGCTACCCAAAAATAGAATGAGAAAGGCTACCTTAGGAGGTAATAAGTTTTTGTCACTAAAGATTTTCTAGAAGAGTCTATACACCATTTGCCAAAGATTTTACAAAAGAACGCGTGAGATATTTCTGCAGTGTAACAATTGTTCACAATAATTCCTTTGGAAAGAACCATGCCTAAAATACCTTGTCTTCCACAATGCTTAACACAGTAACTTTACACAGGGCAAAGTTCTGTAGATATTTGCTGACCAAATTAGTTTACTGCTTTCAGAGCCTATGGCAATTTATTTGAATATTTTCTCTGGTGGCCCATCTCTACCCTTTAAGGGTAAATTTCATTTGGGGAAACAGTAAAAAGGCATTAGAAATCAAATTTGATGAACAAGGCAGATAAACTAGGCAATGCATTTCAGCTTATACAAGATTTTAAATGGTGGTAAAATATTGTCTGTTATCACCTACCACTGAATCTGGCACGGGGTAAATGACCACTGAACTGTAGGTTTTCTTATTATTATATGCTAAATCTGAGAGCAAGTTCTCAAAAAGGAATCAAATAAGAATAATATTTTAAGAATGGGAGTGCAGTGATTCTTTTAAAAGAAACAAACTCATTTGGAAATTGTGGGGTGGTACATTTGTTAAAATCAGTCTCACCACTTAACTGTATTAACAAAGATTATATCCCATTTTCCCTGAACCTCGACTACTGGGGTAAGTACCTATTGTAAAATTTGACTAAGCATTTTTGCTATAATGTTGAATGCAGAATCCTCAAGATTACAGGCTCATCCTATACGAATATGCTTCTCTTAAATACAGATTTTAAATCCTTTTCCCATGCAGGCGTTCTCTGGGGCCCGTCAGTTGGTTGAGCATCACCCACTACACTGATGTGCTGATATTAACCTTCTGACGTTTTCTCCAAAAGAGAATAGAGAAGAAAAAATAGAAATTGGGACCTTGTCCTGGAAACTCAGATGACAATGAGCATGCTATAATTGGAGTGCTTTAAAAACGTGAAAATGAAGCAAAACCTTTGCCCAGTGCTATTTCCAGAATAAGTGAATGACTATACATTCTGTGGATAAGAAAAGAAAAACACCTGGGACCTCTGGGCTAGGCTGACATTTTCCGGCAGGGCGGCTAGACGTCTGCGCTGTCGAGGCTTCGCTTTCTTCTGTGGAGACTTTATAATTTTATCCTCTGCAATACACTCTACATCAGAGTTTGTCCCTTCTGGGTTTCTCTTCCAGCCTCTGTGGCTGACAGAAAGCTCAAAGGAGGCAAGAGATTCCTGCTTCAAGTTATCGCCCCAAGGCCTGACTTTCTGAGTTTTTGTATTTTCCTGGAATAACAAAGAACATGTTTTCATTTTGGGGGAGCCAGCTTATTTATAATTACCATTTCCCTCAAAACCTTATGACATTAGGCGATACTTATTACTAAAAAAAACTTTAAAAAGGAGCAGTGTGGAAAATAGGCTTTAGCAAATATATACCACTGTAATAGCTCATTCATGAATTTGGTTCAGCAGAGGAGGCCTGAGCCAAGAAATCTTCTGATTCTGAGGATGCAGAAGACAACAGACAGAACATAGTATGCTTCCTGACTTCCTCCCAACAGAGGTTTACATACTTTTGGTTCCTGTATGTCAATAACCTGGTGCATATATGTTAATGACCTGGCTAAAGGTTGGATGGGGTATATCAAGCCTATCATCTGCCTGTTAAGAAATAAGAATAACTAAAATTGCAGAGTTTTCCATGTGTGTGCACACACGTTGTGTGTGATTGGTATAACTGAAAAGCCCTAAAGGTCAAATAATATTCTCTCTAAAATTTAAATTTTAGATAGTAACAGACATTGGAGGAATATAATAGGACATACAGGAAACACAAGAAACAATGTCGGAATTACATATACAACATATTTCTAGGCAAATATAAATCCATAGACTGAATCAGTCAATGTCTCTTTCTATATATATGATTATGTATATACATATACACATATATAACCATAGAAAATATGGAAAATACATTAAAATATTTAAAATGGTCAACATTATGTAATGTATGGTGACTAACATAATAAAATTAAAAAAAATAAAAATAAAATGGTCATTTCCAAAGTGTAAAACAATGAGTGATTTAAATTTTCTTATTTATCTCTTACTTTATTTTCTAAGTTTTTCCTAATAAACATGTATCACTCTAATAAGACAAAAAAATAATGGCAGTTAAAAATATGTGTCAGTGCTTCACTCTCTGAACCTCATTAACCATGGTGACATTTGGCCCTTGATAAAGTCTTACCCTTCATATGGGAAACATGCCACAAATGGCTAAATCCTACTTTAATTACTCACCTTAGATGCTGAAGTTTGGCAGGTAGTAGTGAATTCAGTGATCCTACTTGTTGGTATAAACTGAGGCTTTTATGGAAAAAAATCATTAGATAAATGTAAGTAAAAATAACTTTCAACTGGAATATTACAATAATCCAATAATCTTCATTTCTTAAAGGAGTTTCAAGGTTGCACACCCTCACTGGTAATTGTTTAAGGGGTCCGTTGTAGTTTAGATATACTGCAACAATGTTCTGATGAGTGGTGAGTGGGTAACATAAAAGAATGCAATGGTTTGTCAAAGCATTATAGATCAGATGTCTGATGAGCAATTTCAGGAACTGCTCTATCAAACACGCCTCCACAGCCCCTGTCTGTTTTTTCTGGAGACCCTTTGTTCCCCACTTGCAGGTCCCAGCATCTGGAATGAATCGGGGCCGGAGCTTCAAGGGACTCTTGAGGGTAGACTGGCCTCAGCGGTATGCCTAATACCTGGATGATGCTTCTGCTCACAGGCACAGCGAGAGAGAGAGGAAGCATTTGCTCTCCCTGGAAAAGAAGTACCTTTTAAACTAATATTTTGATGTGATGATGTTCACGTTTAAAATGATGAGATGTTAATGAAGTACACCGAGAGAAGATAAAGAGTAATACAGGCCCTGCACCCCAGACTCAAGTTCATTCCCCTTGGGATGCGAGCCTGGGTAGGGGTCTGCTTGGACCTCCTTTATGATAGTACACCCGATCATATTTACTGCGTCATAAACACCCATGCCGTAACCAGCTCAGCGACCAGATTCTCTAGGACATAAAATTTACTTTCCTCTTGTAAGTACCCTACCCCAAAAACTGAAGTCCCAACTGATTAAGTGTTGGTTCTGCTCTCTGCTGAGAACTTTTCCAATGTGGATGGCCTGCAGAGATTTTGAAATGGTGCCTTTTCCTCTGTTCTGAGACCCAAATGCCTCTTGGAACGTCCTATAAAATGCAGGTATCTTTCAAGACAACCTTTTCAAAACAATTATTTCGCTTCTATAGCTGCACCCGCCTTCAACCAGGATTTCCTAGTGCATTCCCTCTCCTGACTGGTGACATCACCAAACACCTAGACACCAAAGCTAGGTTAGCTTTGGTCCAACATCACCCTCAACCCTCTCCACCTAATCAGTGATGAACGTGTGGGTTTCTCCACTTAAATCTCTTTTAAATTCAAGATTTTCCCTAGCCTCGTGTCACCATATTGTTTTAAGGTTTTTATCATCTCTTGATTGAACTATTTTCTATAATCTTGTTTTTCTTGCTTTCTTCCCTTCCCCCGAACCCCCAAAGGAAAATTAATTTCTTTATCTTCTATAACCCCATAGCACTGTTCCTTTTTAGATGTTTATGCAGATAACATATTCACATGGAATACACATTTTTTTTTAAAGATTTTATTTATTTATTTGACAGAGAGAGTGAGAGAGTACAAGCAGGGGGGAGTAGTAGAGGGAGAGAGAGAGAGAGAGGCAGGCCTCCTGCTGAGCAGGGAGCCCGACATGGGGTTCGATCCCAGGACCCTGAGATCATGACCTGAGCTGAAGGCAGACACTTAACCATCTGAGCCACCCAGGCGCCCCGGAATACACATTTTTAAAAGTATATTTTTAAAAGTCTCCTTACTACTCCATTCTTCATTTGTCCAGTTCACATTCCACTGCTATTATTTTTCCGTTTATCTTTCCAGAGATACTGTTTTAATCTCATACAGAAGTATATATAAGTAAGTTTTTCCCACCTTTTTTGAGGTAGGGAAAAATGGTAGTATATTATACATGCAGTCTGCATCTTGCTTTTACACTAAGGATACATCCTAGAGATCTTTATTAGTACTTAAAAAAACTTCATTTCCTTTTACAGATGCATCATATTCTAATGTATTGTTGTACAAAAATTTATTTAACCAGACCTGCTGATAAACATTTAGGTCTTCTCAACATTTTACTGTACAAAGTATTTTGTAATGACATGTAAAATAGGTAATTTTGTAAGTAAGTAATTTTGTATTTGTGTATGTCTATATAATCAATTTTTAAAAGTGCAATTTCTGATTCAAAAGGTATATGCATTTGTAATTTGGATAGACACTGTCACATTGTCTCCATCAGGCTTTTTGGTGGTTCAGCATACAGTCATCCTTATGAATATTTCAAGAGCAGTGATAAAAAAGACATTCTCTATTTTGAGAGTAGAGAGTATATATCAATTATATATACATTATTATTATATATTATTGGCTGTTTAGATATTCCTAGGTTGAGGGCCAATTAAAGTTTCCTATTACCAGCATGATTGACTCTTTTTCCATGTATCATTTGTAGGTTTTTGCTTTATGGAACTCAACATTAGCTGATATGAGAGATTCATAACGGATACATCTTTATTATAAACTGAAGACTTTAGCCTAATTTAATGCCCTTCCTTGCACATTTAATGTTTTTTCCCTTGAATTCCAAATTAATGTTAGGCTGGACCCCTATTTGATTTTTGTACATTTGTTTGAAATCACGTTCAATCTTTCTGAATTGCCATTTTAGATGGGTGTCTTCTGAACAGCACAGGATCCAGGTTTGCCTTGTGATGCTACCTCAAGTTCCTTGTTCTTTATTAAGGTAAGGTTTAGGCCATTTGCATTTATTGATACCATATATGTGGTTGGTATTAGCTGTCATATTATTTATTTTGTTTTTATAATTTCTCTTAAGTTTTTAATGATACAGTCCATTTTGTTTTGTGTGGGTACCTCTTCTGATATTATACAGGGTTTTTCTTTTCCCCCGAGGGGCTACCATTACAATGATAATTTTATAAAACCCTTATTCTTAGTTCTTTCCATCTTTAGACAGTATCTATAAGTTTCCTACTCTGGATGATGACAAAATTTTTCTCTACCTTCTTTTCTTCCACTGTCCGGTATTTACTGGTATTCTCTTTCTCCATATTTACATCAGTACCAAAAAGTATGCTTAAATTGCTTCAATGATACCTCTTGATCTCTTTATAAATGAGGCAAACACATTACCTTTCACCTTCTCTCATCCGTGACTTCTTTTTTTGTTAGTTGAATTATTTCTACGTTGCCAGGGAATTTATATTCAGTTTGGTACCTAAGGTTACATATGGTTTAGGCTATAGTTTAACTATAGTTATAGCCTATAGCCTATAGTTAAATATAGTCAGTGCCTATTTCCAGTTTTTTTGCTGTAGAATTTTCAGGTATCTCTTGGCTGGTTGAAGTTTGATCTTGTTTTCCTCTAAAAGGGATTTCTGGGGTTTTTTTCCTGTTTTCAAAACTATTTGTTTGTAGGCTTTTTATTTGAGGGGTGTTGTGGTGAATATAAAATTCTTGGTTTATACCTCCTTTCCTTGAAGGTCTTATAGTTCTTACTTTACTATCACCCGAGCAAAGTTTTCTGTAGAAAATTTGAAGCCAATCTGATTTTTTTTGTCTCTATAAGTGATTTGATCTTTATGCCTACACATCAAAACATTTTACCTTTTTCTGTACAGTTGAGTAACTTTTCTAGTATATGTCTTATGGTTGACTATTCTTGGGATAGTTTATGCTAAACATGCAGTGTACTGTTTCAAATATGTAGCTTCAAGATTTTTTGTTTTTAATTCAAAGTTTTCCTGATTTATAACTTTATTTTTTAAATTTTATTTTATTATGTTATGTTAGTCGCCATACATCATTAGTTTTTGATGTAGTGATCCACGATCCATTGTTTCCGTATAACACCCAGTGCTCCATGCAGTTACGTGCCCTCCTTAATACCCATCACCAGGCTAACCCATGCCCCCACCACCCTCTCCTCTAAAACCCTCAGTTTGTTTCTCAGAGTCCATGGTCTTTCATGGTTCGTCTCCCCCTCCGATTTCCCCCCCTTCATTTTTCCCTTCCTTCTCCTAATGTCCTCCATGTTATTCCTTATGTTCCACAAATAACTGCAACCATATGATAATTGACTTTCTCTGCTTGACTTATTTCACTTAGCATAATCTCCTCCAGTCCCATCCATGTTGATGTAAAAGTTGGGTATTCATCCTTTCTGATGGCTGAGTAATATTCCATTGTATATATGGACCACTTATCTTTAAAAATGTGTTCTTCCCTTACTTTTTCTTTCAATATTTCAATTATGCAAATACTGAATCTCCTTTTCCTACTTCTATTATCATTTTCTTTGTAATTATAAGAAGTCCTTCCTAATTTCTATTCATTTTATTTGCTTTTTATCCTCTATAGCAGGGGATAGATAGCAAACTTTTTTGTGAAGATCTAGACAGCAAATATTTTAGACTTTGTAGACCACATACAGTCCCTGTTACATATTCTTCTTTTTTCAATTATCCAATAATGTAAAAATCATTTTTAGCTTAAGGGCCATACATGAATAGGTAGTGGGCTAGATTTGGTCAATGGGTAATAGCTGACTCCTGCTCTATATCCCCACTGGGTTTATCAGAGTGATAATCTGCCTTTGTATTCTTTCCAGTTGTATGATTTATTTTTTCTATTTCTTCCTTGAGTTCTACCAAATCATGTTTCATTTTCATTGTCTCTTGCTATTTCAACATCTCTTCCTAAGTGCTTATATTTCTTCTTTGAGGTCTTCCTTCATAAAAATAACATTGTTTTACTAAGTAAAAACTTGTTTCCAGATGTGTATATAAAATTTCCTTCTGATCTGTGTCAACATTTCTTTTTTTACATTTCCAGCTGTACTGAGATATAATTGACATACAGTTCATTGCACATAACTCAAGTGTACAGTTTGATAAGATTTGACATGTATAAAGTCATCGTAATAATCAAGATAATGACCATATTGATCATCCCCAAAAGTTTCCTTGTGCTCCTTTGCAATCCCTCTCTACACTCCTTCCTACCCCCTGATCTTTCTCTCAATATAGAATTTTCCAGAATTTCTAGAATTTTCTAGAATTTCATTTTCTAGAATTTTCTATTAAGTGGAATCATATAGTATGAAATTCTTTTCTGGTTTCTTTCACTAGGAAGAATTATTCTGAAATTAAACCATGTT